GGGGAGAGACGGGACGGTGTTGGGGGGCAGGTGGTTGCCGGGGCCGTGGTGGGGGAGCTCGGGGGCGCTGTGAAGGAGGGAGGCTGTCATGGGGGACGCGTGGTTTGCGGGGCTGGCCCGGGGTGGGACAGTTCATAGCCCTGGGAGCGCTGGGCTTGCTGCATCCGGTCGGAATGTAAAAAAATTGTGTGAGCTCTGGCAGCTCTTTCCTTACAAATGCAGCATTGGGTGGGGCGCTGTGATGGTGGCGGAGGGACGGGGTGCGGGGCTGTTGGGGTGCAGGAGGGATGGGGTGAGGCTGAGGGGCTGTGGTGGGGACTGTTGGGATGGGGGAGGGATGAGGAGGGGCTGTCGGGGACTGTTGGGGTGCAGGAGGGATGGGGTGAGGGGCTGTGTTGGCGACTGTTGGGGTGCAGGAGGGATGGGGTGAGGGGCTGTGTCAGGGACTGTTGGGGTGGAGGAGGGATGGGGTAAGGCTGAGGGGCTGTGTCGGGGACTGTTGGGGTGGGGGAGGGATGGGGTGAGGGGCTGTCGGGGGCTGTTGGGGTGCAGGAGAGATGGGTGACGGGCTGTCGGGGACTGTTGGGGTGGGAGAGGGATGGGGTGAGGGGCTTGTCGGCGACTGTCGGGGTGAGGGAGGAATGCGGAGGAGGCTATGGCGGGAGAGGGATGAAGTGGGGGGGCTCTGTAAGGGAGGGGGATTGTGATGTAGAATGGGTGGTTTGTGGGGCTCTGCTGGGGTGTGGCATTGGGTCAGGGCAGGTGGCCTGTTGGCGGAGGGATGGTTGGGGGGACAAAGCTGTTTAGGCAGTTATCTTGAAGACCGTGTTTTGTGGGGCCCAAAAGAAGGAGTTTGGGGGGTATGGAGTGGCATTGCTAGGCAGGGAGTTCTATGAAAGGGTCTAATTGAAGGGTGCTTTGGGAGAATTACTTCATTTTGATGTATGTTGGGATTTGTGCACAAAATGCATCTTTTAGGCTTTATGTGTCTGAATAAATCTTTAAGATGACTTAAATAATACATTGTTTAAACACAATTAAAATGGCATACCAAACACACGTACCATTTTGAGGGGGCTTTGTTTGAGCTGTTTTGTGTGTGTGAATGCCTGGGGGGAGCTTTGAATTGGGTTTTGTTGTTTTTTCACTATTTTCATTCTGCCACATATACGTACTATGGTTTCATCTAAGGCAGGGGTTGCCAACCTGTGGCTCCATAGCCATGTGCGGCTCTTCAGAAGTTAATATGCGGCTCCTTGTACAGGCACCAACTCCGGGGCTGGAGCTACAGGCGCCAACTTTCCAATGTGCCAGGGGGTGCTCACTGCTCAACCTCTGGCTCTGCGAAAGGCCCTGCCCCCCACTCCATCCCTTCCCGCCCCCTCCCGTGAGCCTGCAATGTCCTCGGTCCTCCCTCTCTTTCTCCCCACCTCCCCGACCCAAAGCCTCCTGCGTGCCAAGAAACAGCTGATCGGGAGGGCGGGGGAGGTGCTGATCCATGGGGCTGCAGGTGGGTGGGAGGCGCTGGAAGCAGGGTGGGATAGCTGATGGGGGGGCTGCTGACTTATTACTGTGGCTCTTTGGCAATGTACATTGGTAAACTCTGCGTCCTTCTCAGGCTCAGGTTGGCCACCACCAATCTAAGGGGAGGTGGAGTACTTACGCTGACGGGAGAAGCTCTCCTGTTTGCCTTGGTAGCGTCTTCACTAAGCGCTGCAGCACTGTATGTGTAGACAAGCACAAAGATAGATAGATAAAAGGATTGAGAGAGAAGTTGTAGAGTGAATTGGTTGGTGGATGACAGGTGGGGTTTTGTTTTTTGTTTGCTTTATTGAGCAATAGCTTGATAACAATCAATAATGGGGGAAATATTTTTTCTGTGTCATTTTGAAATTGAAGGTCAACAAAAAATAGAACTGGCTTTTGGCAATAATGAACAATATTTTTGGCAATTCTCCATTAAATGTCAACGTGTGCATCTGAAATGGTGCTGAACATTGTTTAATTGCAAGTATTGACTAGAACAAACAAGCTTCTTATATGCTGTTGAATACAGTTGGTTCTGGTCAACCCTTCCAGTTAAACTGCTTTCATATATTTGAGGTTTGAGTTAGCTGTAGAATTCAGCCTCCCTTTTTAGTTAACTTAAATGGTGTCTGTATGACTTGGGATCCTAAATGTGAAAGAGAGCATAAATTGGCAAGCCTTATTATTTTATTTCTATTTTTCTTCCTAAAATTCCCCCCTCTGGCCTTTCCTTACACAAAGCATCTAAAATAGCTTTTGTCTAGAGTGAGTAAACTCTTTCAGATCATGACTAATCCTGCTCCATATGCACCAATACAGCAAAGAAGAATTTCTTAAAATACTGTAGCAAATTGTTCTCTTAGATTTCTCAGTTAATCTTCAGAGGAAATCATTCTGGATTAAGGTTCATTCAAAGATAGCTGTGGCAACTACTAGTTACCTTGATAGATTGCCTGTAACTCCTTAGAAAATTCCATTCACATATTTGCATAGTGGCAGTGCAAAAACCACTGATGGAGTCCAACAACCCAGGCTTCATCTCTTGGTGCAATCTCATGAGCAGACTACAAAAGACTTATACTCTTTAATCAAAATTTTTTTTAAATTCAGACTTTAATGTAATTATAATGACAATAAGTAATCTTTTTATATTTTAAAATAGTGGACTTGTACTCTACAGAAATAGTGTTGATGAACTGGTTGGCCAAAGTGATCAAATAAAATGTAGAGACTTTCATCTCTAAATCACCTGTTCAAAGCCCAGGTTTGTAATTGCAGGATATGAAATTGGTTGGTCCAAGTCAATCCAATTCTTAGGTGACAAATAGCAATAAGAATCCTTGTTGGCCGACTCAGGAGAAAAGCCAAGGGCTCTATAGACCTAATGATGACAAACCTGTTACCCTAGAGTTGTTTCTTCCAGGACAGGGTTGACGCACACTAACATAGAATCATAGACTTTAAGGGCAGAAGGGACCATTATGATCGTCTAGTCTAACCTCCTGCACAGCGCAGGCCACAGAATCTCACCCACCTGTACTCCTGTATCAAACCCCTAACCTATGTCTGAGCTATTGAAGTCCTCAAATAGTGGTTTAAAGACTTCAGGGTGCAGAGAATCCTCCAGCAAGTGACCCGTGCCCCATGCTGCAGAGAAAGGCGAAAAACCCCCAGGGCCTGTGCCAATCTGCCCTGGAGGAAAATTCCTTCCTGACCCCAGATACGGCACTCAGCTAAACCCTGAGCATGTGGGCAAGACTCACCAGCCAGACACCCAGGAAAGAATTCTCTGTAACAACTCAGATAATGGATGCACTGGTCACTACTCCAGAGTTAAGATTGATTTGACAAAAGCAACCAAAGTTGAAACTTGTTCCCTTGAATTTATAAGGAAAATTAACTTTCCTCAAGCCTCCAGAACTCCCAGTCCAAGGTGAGTTTTCATGGAAGTTTTATGTGATTCCATTGAATGTTATGGGAGCATGGGGAAGCTTGCACTGCCATTGATAATAGTGTACCAGTTTTGTGACCAACTTGAAGCTCCAGAGCTGTCAAGCAAGCTAACCTGTTTTGCAAACAAGCTACCTGCATTTGGCTTTTACGTATGGGCAACGTTCTACTCGTATTTTGCCCACTACTGAGCATCTTGAAATACAGAATGTGCTCGTAGTCTGAGGGGCGAATGTAAACGTGGATGTATATCTTTTAGAGGGTCACTGAAAAGATTCTTGGAGGGAGCAGGCAGGGCCGGCTCTGGCTTTCTGGCCGCCCCAAGCAAAAAAACCAAACCTGCGATGCAGCCGGAGCCAGGATGCAGGGGGACTCCCTGCCCTGCAGATGTGCCCCGGCTAGCGGGGGGAGGGGGAGAGAGAAGGGGGGCGGCCAGGGCTTCAGCGGGACGCTGCCACGTGACCCCTTCCACGATGCCCCATGCCGGGAGGGCTCCGCACCACTCCGGTCGGCTGGGAGGGAAGGACGCAGGCTGCCCTGCCGGGCTTGCTCCCGTCCTCCATGCCGCTGCCCCCTACAGGGCGGCCGGAGCGGAACAACAACAACAACAAAAAACGGCCATGCCGCCCTAGGATTGGGCGGAATGCCGCCTCCTACAAGCTGCCACCCCAAGCACCAGCTTGCTCGGCTGGTGCCTGGACCGGCCCTGGGAGCAGGACCACTAATGAATCTACCAGTCCTGTCCAGGAGTAATGTCCTGAGAAAACAGATCCACTTTCTTAGTCACTGTTCAGTGTTTGTTTAACAAGGTTGAGTGATGGAGGGCATCAAAAAGGGAAAGAGTCTTCTCTAGGGGAGAGTGTATGCAGTGATTTCACAATTACATAACTTCTAGCCAAGAGAGAAAAATGTTCATACAACTACCACAGCGATCTCCTGCAGAAGTTACCGTTCTGAACAAGTTAGTTGATATGTGTTGATGTGTGTTGGCCCTCCAGAGGAAATAATTCTAGAAATACAGTTGTAG